ATGGACCCAATTTATTGAATTTTCATTTTTGTTAATTCCAATCTTTAATTTTTTTAAAAAAAATGATTAAAAAGAAAAGAAAAAGTCATTCCTTCCCCACAGAAACTACCCATCTTTCTTCTTCATCCCTTAATGTCCATGGACACCTTATGCGACAATGAAAAAAAAGGAAAGAAACAAATCACTCCCCAGCCATTTAGTTATATGTGCTTTCTTCTTCTTCTTCTTCATTAGTTGTTACCCATTATTATAAATTAATGGAGTGAATATTGTAATTTTTGTGAAAAATAAATTAACTTTGATAAATTATTTTAAAATTAATTACCAAGAGAAATCGTGAGGATTTTAAAGAATTATATCAAATTTTCTGATATTATGTTACAACTTAATGTGTTGATGTTTGTTGATCGAAGTCGGAAATAGAAATGAACGGGAGTTGCCTTTAAAACTCTGATGTCCGATTATTTTTTTCATTCTTGCAAGTTCGATTTAACACTAAGAAAATTCAGTTTTTCTTTTTATGAAGATCAAAGAGAAAAAATCAACACGTAGTTTACAACAACGAAAATGGGTAAAGAAGAAGACAACTGTTGATATAGCTTACAGGGAAGGGGGTGGGGGGATTTGTTTTCTTTTTGGATATTATAATACAAAATACTTTTTTTTAGTTATTTTTATTAATGCAATGCCAAGTGTCATTATAAGAAAAAAAAGGTAGAAGATTATTATTAATAAAAAATAAAAAATAAAAATTTAGACTTGTTCATGCGCTTCCATGCAGTGAGATGCACTTATTTTGCCATATCAGCATTTTATGCTTAATAGACCGTGTTTTGAATAATTTAGGTGTTCAATAGGTACAAGCCATAGTTGAGGTGTCTAAGTGAATTATGCGGACAACTTTAGGGGGCCGTAGGTGACTTAAGCCTTAATCAAACTATTGCACCTTATACACCACAGTCAAATGGTTTGGCAGAACGGAAGAATAGAATATTAAAGGAAATGATGAATGCCTTAATAATCAATTCTGGTTCACCGCGAAATCTTTGGGGGAAACCATCCTTACAGCTAATAAAATACTCAATAAAGTGCCCCATCGAAAAACACAATCAATTCCATTTGAGTTGTGGAAAGGAAGAACCTAACTTGAAATATTTCAAAGTGTGGGGGTGTTTAGCCAAGGTAGAGGTTCCTTTACCGAAGAGGGTTAAAATTGGCCCAAAATAATAGATTGTGTCTTTATTGGGTATGTTGTGAATAGTAAAGCCTGTCGATTTTTGGTTCACAAATCTGATAATCCTGAGATTCATGTTAATACGATAATTGAATCAGATAATGCAGAGTTTTTTGAAAACATTTATCCGTATAAAACTGAAAGTGAGTCAACAAGTGAAAGACCTAAACGACCACAAGAAGAATCAATGGAAAATATTCTAACTAGTGAGGAACCTAGGCGAAGTACTCGAGAACAAAAATTTGTTTCTTTCGGACCAGATTTTGTAGCACTATTGCTTGAAAATGAGCCTCAAACATTTAAAGCAGCTATATCTTCATCAGAGTCAACTTATTAAGAAGAAGTAGTCAATAGTGAGATTGAATCAATTTTAAGCAATCGCACTTGGGAATTGACTGATCTTCTTCCAGGAAATAAACCTTTAGGATCAAAGTGGATCTTTAAAAGGAAAATGAAACCTGATGGGACTATTGACAAATATAAGGCTAGACTTGTAGTCAAAGGGTACAGACAAAAGGAAGGTCTGGACTACTTTGACACTTACTCTCCAGTAACAAGGATAACATCAATTAGGATGTTAATAGCACTAGCAGCAGTGCATGATCTTAAAATCCACCAAATGGATGTAAAGACAACCTTCTTAAATGGAGAGTTAAAGGAAGAAATTTACATGGAACAATCTGAAGGGTTCATAGTTCCTGGTAAGAAAAGAAAGTGTGCAGACTTGTGAAGTCACTTTATGGACTCAAGCAAGCACCCAAACAATGGCATGCTAAATTTGATCAAATAATGTTGGCAAATGGATTCAAGATTAACGAATGTGATAAATGTTTTTATATTAAAAACGTTATGAATCATGAAGTCATTGTTTGTTTGTATGTTGATGACATGTTAATAATGAGTAAAGAAATTGACGATATAAATGCTACTAAGCACATGTTGTCCAGCAAGTTCGATATGAAAGACTTAGGAGTTGCTGATTTGATCTTAGGGGTCAGGATCATCAAAACTCACCAGGGACTAGCATTATCTCAATCTCATTACATTGAAAAAGTATTGGATAAGTTCAATTACTTGAATTTCAATGTATTCAAAACTTCAATTGATTTAAGTTGTACATTTAAAAAGAATGAAGGTCAAAGTGACTCTCAATTGGAATATGCCAGAGTGTTGAGAAGTTTGATGTATATTATGAATTGCACGCGACCAGATATAGCATGTGCTATTAGTAAACTGAATCGGTACACTAGTAATCCGAATCAAACTCACTGGATGGCTATGAAACGTGTGTTGGATTATCTAAAATGGACACAACATTATACTTTGCATTATAATAAATATCCTGCTGTAATTGAAGGATATAGTGATGCAAATTGGATCACCGGGTCAAATGATGTAAAATCCACGAGTGGTTATGTATTCATACTTGGTGGAGGAGTTGTCTCTTGGAAATCTTCTAAACAGACATGTATTGCTCGCTCCACAATGGAATCTAAATTCATTGCTTTGGATAAGGCTGGTGAAGAAGCGGAATGGCTCCGGAATTTCCTAGAGGATATTCCATTCTGGCCCAAACCTGTTGGACCAATTTGCATACATTGTGATAGTCAAGCAGCAATAGGTAGGGCAGGGAGCGTTATGTACAACGGAAAGTCTCGTCATACACGACGTAGACATAACACCGTAAGACAACTACTCTCTAGTGGAATTATCACAATTGACTATGTAAAGTCAAGCGATAATGTGTCAGATCCACTAACGAAAGGCCTAGTGAGAGAGGCAGTTGAAAGATCATCTAAGGGAATGGGTTTATGGCTTAGGACAAGTCAGCATGACAGTAACTCTATCTAGCAAACTGGAGATCCCAAGAGCTAGATTCAAGGAGAAAAACAAAGTTGTGGCTGACGGTTCAACATTGTCAATTAACTCAATCCATTCTCATAATGAAGACAATGTTCAGGAAAAGGTTAAGACTTAAAGGCTTGTTAATGAGGTAATAAAGCTTAAAGTTTTTAATGATTTGCTAAGTTTGGTAGAGTTGACCAAATAGTGTATCTACGAGATGACACGATTAGAAATCACCTATGTGAGTGTGAAGTGAAAGCCGCTTCAAAGAGAATTTTATGTCAAAAGCCTATTTTCTATACACTCATGAAAACCAGAAGGTGTTCATGGCTGAAACGAACACAACCATAAGAATCATAAACAGTAAATGGTTAATTGTGTGACATATGGTTGTCTAGGTATACACCAAAGTTCGACGGTTCAAAGATATCACATCTACCGATTGACCGAGTATATCCGACATATGTTCACTACGGAAAGTCCAAGGGGAAACCTACTTATCCAGATGCAATTAATCCTTGCTTGTAAAGTACACAATTGTTGTGCATTCCTATGTTATAACTATTCCCCATCAATGTGGGGGATTGTTGGGTATGTAGCAAGAATTGATGGGAAATAGAGGGAAGGATAGAAATTTGAAAAGTTTAGAACTTGAAAGGTTGGGAACTTGAAAAGTCCTCCTATGCTTTAATGAAAAAGGAAATAGTCCCTCATCGGTAATGGAAATGAAAATAGGAGAGTTTTAATAAATAAACACTCCTATTAATTGTTAAAAGGGTTGGAAAGAGGGACCCCCCTCGCATCGTCGTCGTCGTCGCTCGCTCCGGCTTTGGCTTCGGCTTCGACTTTGGCTTTGGCTTTGGCAAATAAATTATTTTCAATTAATTAGTTGATAACAGAAGTTAACCGAAATGTTTTCAACTTTTCAGTTAACCCGACCTGACTCGGATCCGCGCGCGTGACCCGTTTTAATTTCCGTTATATTTAAAAATTCCCGCCATGACTAATCTGAAAGGTTGCAACATTCAGGAACAGTCAATACCATTTGAAAGTTTGCAACCTTTCATTAATTGTCGTGTCAGTTCTGAAAGGATTGCAACCTTTCAGAATATATTCTTCTTGTCTATTAATACCATTCAGTCTTTAGAATATTTCCCTACGAAATTTCTGATCTTCCTTCTTCTTAAAAAAAACACATATTTCTTCGTGTACTTTCCTGCTGTGGATTGATTCGCTGACAGTAATGTTTTTGTTATCTATACTCTACTGATTAAGATCATTTTACCCTGGGAGTGTATTTTCCAAATCAAACGTCAGATACTAGAGGGGAATAATTTCCTTAAAGGGACACTGTGAACTCAGTGGACTTGATTTTCTTCCTAAACTATTAAAAAGAGTATTCCAGATTCTGGTAAGTTTTTACACATTCAATTATTTTTTTACAAATAAATTTTTGTTCATCTTACTTACTGGTTCTAAAAATCTCAGTTACTTCGTGTTTCTCAATGATTTATTACAACCAGTAATTTCTGATTTTCATAACACAAATTAGTAACACTAATCATGTCAGTTGTCCTGATTTTCCGCCTCATAGTAAGTCTTTTTTCTAAGTTTAGAAGATAGTTGGAGTCTATTCACCAAAAAATTATTCAAAAAAGATGCATGTTCTCCTATGTTAAAAGAAATAGGGAAGCATATTGTAAAACAATGTCGAGGATTACCTCTCTTGGTCGTTGTTGTTGCTCGACACCTTGGGAAAATGGACCCAACGCATGATAATTGGAAGAAGGTTGAGGAAAATCTGAACTCATTCCTTGGTACGGTATCTGAACGGTGCCAGTCAATTCTTTCTTCCAGTTAGAGTTACTTGCCCCAATATTTGAGGTCTTGTTTTCTGTATGTTGGAGGCTTTCCGGAAGACATGGAGATTAGCATTTCCAAGTTGATTAGGTTATGGATTGCTGAGCAATTCGTAAAGGAGAGAAGCAATAAAAGGTTAGAAGTTGTGGCAGAGGAGTATCTTGAAGAGTTAATTGATAAAAGTCTAATTTTGGCTGGTAAACAAAGGGCTAATGGAAGGATGAGAAGTTGCAAAATTCACGATCTTCTTCGCCAACTATGCCTAAGAGAAGCTCATACAGAAACTGTTGTGCATTTCATGAATGAGAATGTTCCAATGTCCTCAGAAGCCATATATGATCAACGACGAGTGATCGTTCCATCTAAACTTCAACATGTGAGATTTTATCCTACAAGGCATAGCAGTGGTATCACAAGTATGACCCGCACCTTTGCTACAACAAAAGATAATTATATTAAAATGCAAACAAGTTCCATTGTTTCACAGTTCAAGTTGCTTAAGGTGTTAGACGTATTATTAGTCTGGAAAGATTTCAGTTGTATAATACCTCAGCTTGTACATTTGAGATATGTTGCTGCGAATATTGAGAAAGCTTTTTCACTAGACAAATTGAGAAATCTAGAGACCATAATTCTTGTAAAAACCTGAACGGGCGACTCTGAAGCATCCACTTGATATCTGGAGAATGACAGAGATAAGACATTTGGATATTAGATATCCACTATATATATTTAATCCTCTTCTGGTAAAAAATCATATGACACTATATATATCTGATCCTCTTGAATTAGAACAACCTTTGTTTCTCAATAACTTGCAAACACTTCATCTCGATAACTCTTCTTTTGTTTCCGAAATCAGAAGAACTCTCAATCTAAAAAAGCTAAAGATTTTAGATACTTTTGGCCATCCTTACTGGCATGATTTCTTTATTCTCTCATTCTTCTAGAGGATCTGGAGACGTACACATAACATTAACTAGATTACCATGGGATTTCCCAAGGGACAGAGCTGAGACCTTTGACGTGATGATTTTGTTGGGTTTTAGCAAGTGTGAATGGGAAAAGAAAAGAGAGAATATGAAAAGTAAGGGAACTACTTTGGATTTGGATTTGACAAATGATGTGATTGATTGATAAATTTTTTGGACAAAATTTATTTAATCAATTTTTGTTAAATCAAATAAATCCTGTTAATATTATCTCTTATAAATTTGCGGGTAACGCTAACATTTCGAAAAGTTGTTACTTTTCTGAAAAGTAGTTATTTTCCTAACGGACACATTTTTTTGAAAAGTTGTTATTTTTTCCAAAAGACACAACTTTCTGGATAAAATGGGTCTGAACAGATTTCACTGAACAGACATGTTCCTTGCTGAAAATGGCTATAAAAGGAAGTCAATTTTTTATTTTTCAAACAATGAAAATTTTTTCTTTCTCTGCATTTATTTTTCTCTCAAATAAAATCAAAGTGTCGATCGACTGAGTCTGTGTGACTTGTTGCTGTTCTTAAGTTCGTTGAAGTTAAAGAAGTTTGAGGTACCGCTATTTCTTTAACAGGTTTAATCAGTTTTATCTTGGGAGAAATTAATCCATAACCTTGGGTACAGTGATGGGATTAAATTTCTTAAGGACACACAGTAGTTTCTGTGGACTCGGATTAATTCTTGTATTTATATTTTTTCTGCTTCATCTTATTTCTGTTTCTGTTTATTAACCTTATAAATACAGGTTATTGTAAGAAAATAACAATCTTAAGAAATTTTACAGTTTCTGTATTTGAGGTTTCTGGAGATTAAAACCTTTATGGTTTTCTACTCTGCTTAAATTTTTAAAAATTCATTCGATTAACGATTAAAAGAACATAAAAACTTTATCGTTAAATCAGAAACAGTTTGTGTAAAGATTGTTATTTACTGTTAGTATTCTAAATACTTAATTTATCTGTCATTTGTGACAGAAAAAAATGACTAATTCAAGTCAAACAAATGCTAGAACAGTAAGTGCTGCAACAACAACGGTTGCACATAATCGTTCAAATGCTGCCTTAGCACCGGCTGAGAAACCTGCAAGTTTTCTGGAGTCGACTTTAAGAGATGGCAGCAAAAGATGTTCTTCTATCTCACTACGTTGAGTCTGCAGAAGTTCATCAATGAGAATGTTCCGGTTATGTCAGATGAAACTCCGGCTGATGAACGATTCTTGGTAACAGAAGCATGGACACACTCAGATTTTTTATGTAAAAATTATATTTTGAGTGGTCTGCAAGATGATCTGTACAATGTGTACAACAATGCCAAAACCTCAAAAGAACTCTGGGATGCTTTAGAAAAGAAGTACAAAACAGAAGATGCCGGAATGAAGAAATTCATTGTGGCAAAATTTCTGGACTATAAGATGATAGACTGTAAGACTGTCGTCTCCCAAGTTCAAGAATTGCAGGTCATAATCCATGATCTCCTTGCTGAAGGTATAAATTTATTTAATGCCTATGTTAGAAATATTAAGTTTTTCCTTAATACTCACATAACCTTTAATGTAGGATTGATTGTGAATGATGCTTGCAAGTGGCTGCAATTCTTGAAAAGTTACCTCTATTGTGGAAGGACTTTAAAAACTACTTGAAACACAAATGCAAGGAGATTGACTGTTGAAGATCTCATAGTAAGGTTGAGAATCGAAGAGGATAATAAGGCTGCAGAAAAGAGGTCACGTTGTAATTCAGCAATATCTGGAGTAAATTTTGTTGAAGAAGATTCCACAAAATTAAAGAAAAGAAAGAAAGCATCTGGTCCAAAAAGCAATCCTCCTAAGAAGAAATTCAATGGAAACTGCTTTAATTGTGGTAAACATGGTCATAGGGATAATGAATGACGGGGTCCTAAGAAGGACAAGAAAAAGAAAGATCAAGCAAACTTGGTTGAATCCAAAGGAGAAATGGACGATCTCTGTGCAATGCTTTCAGAATGTAACTTGGTTGGAAATCCAAGAGAATGGTGGATAGATTCTGGTGCCTCATGCCATGTTTTGTGCCAACAAAGAATTATTTTCATCATATACTCCAGCACTTACAGATGAAAAAGTTTTTATGGCAAACTCTATTGTTGCAAAGGTGGAAGGAACTGGCAAAGTCCTATTAAAGATGACATCAGGCAAGGTGGTGACTTTGAATAGGGTCTCATATGTTCCACAATTGAGAAAGAATTTAGTTTCAATTCCAGTTCTGACAAAGAATGGATTTAAATGTGTATTTGTTTCTGATAAAGTAGTAGTAAGCAAAAATGATATGTATGTAGGAAAAGGCTACCTTAGTGATGGCCTTTTCAAACTCAATGTAATTGCCGTTGATATGAATAAAGATTTTGCTTCTTCTTACTTGTTTGAGTCTAAATGTTTATGGCATGAACGTTTGGTACACGTTAATAACAAAACCTTGCGAAAACTGATTAACTTAAATATTTTGCCAAAATTTGAGTGCAATAAATCAAAATGTCAAATTTGTGTTGAATCTAAGTATGCTAAGCATTCTTATAAATCTGTTGAAAGGAATTCAAATCCTTTAGAATTGATTCACACTGATATTTGTGACATAAAGTCAACACCATCACGTGGTGGGAAAAAGTATTTCATAACTTTTATTGACGATTGCACTAGATATTGTTATGTATATTTGCTAAATAGTAAGGATGAAGCAATAGATGCATTTAGGCAATATAAAACTGAAGTTGAAAATCAGTTAGATAAAAAGATCAAAATGATCAGAAGTGATAGAGGTGGAGAATATGAATCTCCATTTGCAGAAATATGTTTAGAAAATGGAATAATCCATCAAACTACTGCTCCCTACACTCCTCAGTCTAATGGAATTGCAGAAAGAAAAAATCAAACTTTAAAAGAAATGATGAATGCATTACTTATAAGTTCAGGTTTACCATAGAACTTGTGGGGGGAAGCTATCCTTACAGCAAATCAGATATGTAACAGAGTGCCTCACTCAAAGACAAATGTAATTCCATATGAGAAATGGAAAGGTAGAAAACCCAATTTGAAATATTTCGAAGTGTGGGGGTGTCTAGCCAAAGTCCAAGTTCCTATACCTAAGAGGGTAAAAATAGGACCTAAGACTGTGGATTGTGTATTCATTGGATATGCCACAAACAGTAACGCATGTCGATTTTTGGTTCATAAGTCCGAACATCCGGATATTCATGATAATACGGTAATGGAATCAGATAGTGCTGAATTTTTTGAACATATCTATCCGTATAAAACTAGACTTGAGTCATCTAGTGGGGGATCTAAGCAACTCATAGAAGAACCAAAAGAGAATGAACAAAATGAAGAAATTCCAAGACGCAGTAAACGTCAAAAGACATCTACATCATTTGGATCAGATTTTGTAACATTTCTTCTTGAAAGTGAGCCTCAAACATTCAAGGAAGCAATGTTGTCTAGCGACTCAACCTCTTGGAAGGAGGCTGTTAATAGTGAAATCGAATCAATCTTAAGCAATCACACTTGGGATTTGGTTGATCTTCCTCCAGGGAACAAACCCTTGGTTTCAAAATGGATCTTTAAAAGGAAGATGAAAGATGATGGAACTATTGACAAATATAAAGCAAGACTTGTTGTCAAAGGTTTTAGACAAAAAGAAGGTCTTGATTATTTTGACACATACTCGCCAGTGACTAGGATTACATCAATTCGGATGTTAATTGCACTAGCTGCAGTATACGGTCTTGAAATTCATCAAATGGATGTGAAAACAACCATCTTAAATGGAGAGCTTGAAGAGGAAATTTACATAGAACAGCCTGAGGGCTTTGTAGTTCCTGGTAAAGAAAAGAAAATGTGCAAACTCATTAAGTCACTTTATGGGCTAAAACAAGCACCAAAACAATGACATGCAAAGTTTGATCAAACCATGTTGTCAAATGGATTTAAGATCAATGAATGTGATAAATGTGTTTACATTAAAGATACTCCAAATCAGGAAGTTATTTTATGCCTATATGTAGATGATATGCTTATAATGAGCAAAGACATTGCTAATATAAAAGCTACAAAGTGTATGCTTGCTAGTAAGTTTGATATGAAATATTTAGGAGTTGCTGATGTGATATTAGGAATTAAAATTCTTAAAACTCCTAACGGTCTAGCATTGTCTCAAACTCATTATATTCAAAAGATACTTGAAAAATTCAAATTTTTGAATTTTAAAAGGGCAAAGACTCCAATTGATGTAAATCTTCATCTTGCAAAGAATAAAGGTGAAAGTCAGTCTCAATTGGACTATGCTAGCGTATTGAGAAGCTTAATGTATGTCATGAATTGTACACGACCAGACATAGCTTGCGCTATCAGTAAACTGAGTCGATACACAAGTAATCCTAATCATAATCATTGGTTGGCAATGAAGAGAGTTTTGGGATACTTAGATGACACTCAAAACTATGCTTTACATTACAACAGATATCCAGCCGTTCTTGAAGGATATAGTGATGCAAATTGGATTACTAGATCAACTGAAACAAAATCCACAAGTGGATACGTTTTTACTATTGGTGGAGGAGCAATATCTTGGAAATCATCCAAACAAACATGTATAGCTCGCTCTACAATGGAGTCTGAATTCATTGCTTTAGACAA